GGCCTTTATTCTCTGATCAGCTGAAGCCCTTAGAAGTGGCTATTAACATACTGTGTGCAAGCCTTGGCAGACAGAAGGCAGCAGAAGGACACAATGTTGCTAGCCACCATGATTGGATATTAGGAAAAATTTCTTCACTGAAAGGGTTACGAAGCATTGGAACAGGCTGCCCAGGGAAGTGGTTGAGTCACCATCCCTGGAGGTACTTAAAAGACCTGTAGACGTGACAACTAAGGACATGGTTTGGTGGTGGACTTGGCAGTGTTAGACATATGGTTGGAATCTATGATCTTAAAGGTTTTTTCCAACCTAAATGATTCTATGATTAATGAAAAAATGTCACTCCTTTCTTCACACAGTTCTGCTGTGAATTGGCTGAACAGATTATAAAACCCTCTTTCTGTCCCACCAACATCATGACAGAGCGTAAAGCAATAGGAAGCCCTGGAGAAAGAGCCATTAATGATTGAAGTGTCTAACATCCTAAGGCAGAGCTATCATTTGTACCCACTGAAGCAGACAAAAGCAGCTCATCTCTCTCCTCTCCACCTCACAAAAAGAAAGCTAAAACAAAGGGGTCAGAGAGGCTGAGAGAATTAGGAAGAAAAGTGGCTGATTGGGCTCAACTCCCACTGTGCAAGAGCTTGCTTGACTTCAGATTCACATATTATGTCTTCTCTGTGCCTAGCAAGACCTCAGTCATGCCTTCCACGTTAATATTCCTAACACACAAAAACTGAGAGGAAGAGACAGGGCTGAGTTGCTTTAAAGGGAGCCTGATGGCCCCAATATGTACCCACATCTCTGCTCAGCACATCAGGCTGTCTGGAGTCTGAATGAGAGCATGTTCCTCTACCACAGAAGGTCAGTTAGATAAAAATAACCCCCAAAAGCCTACATTCAGCTTGGAAGCACAGTGCTGAGCCAGGGACAATGATAATAGTAAAACACAATAGTTCCTCAGAGCAGCCCTAAAATAATAGATTATAAATGGGCAAAGGGGGAGGAGAAGAGATGGAGGGCTATTTTATCACTGTTCTAAAAGCATTCAGAGGAAATAAATTTGGCTCCATTTGACAGACATTTCTCAAAAGTCAAAATGTGCTAAATATAATGCTGAATGTCCCTAAATACAAAAGAAGTCAGCAAGAGTCCCTTGGCCAGTAACTTTTTAATATCTGTTCTTTTTTGCTCCCCTCTGCTTGTTTAGCCTTTGCCCCATGATGGTTATTTGCCTTTCTGGGCAGCTTAATCAGGAGCTATTAGAGACAGTCACTCTCTAAGCTGTATAATGTTAAAAGTCCATTAGCTCACCCCAAGCAAGGCTGGCAGAAGGGAGATGATGTACTTGCTGAAGTTGAACAAGCTATTTGCATGCTGAATATTTCTAACCACTGAGCAATGCCAGGAGAATCTGAACATTACTGCACTCAGCTGCCCAGTGACCTTTCGAACACACTCACTTTAGCACAAAACAACGTGGCAAAACATATCCAGCGCTACACCTGCAAAAAGGGACAGACGGATGGTTTTAAGAAATTCTAGGCACCAACTATACACACCTTTAAAAAAAAAAATTTTCAAGAAATGATCATTAGCAAAGTCTGTCTTCCCCTTTCCCTCTGCCACACATCAGGAGCAACTGATGTCTTTCAGTGCCTGTTTCAGTCACTGACCGGTCAATCTGTAGCAGACAGAAGCCTGTCTCACAGCATACTATACCCTCCATGAGGAGACCAAGAAGTGCAAGGGCACAGAGCATGGATGTCCCTCTCGAGCCCAGAACCACCATAGCTGCCAAAACAAGGTTGCTCTCCACTGGAACAAGGCAATCAGGAAAGTCTAAGAATTTAGATCAACATTAGAGCTATTTCTTACAATGACAGAAGAACAACAGAAAAGACAGATCATTAAATACCAGCTCTTTCAACAGCTTTTGGGAACTGGCTTCTATTTTGGGCAGTGAATGGTTAAACTCCTGCTGGTATTTTGCTGAACCTCCTGCAAAGAGTAACTCTGACGCTCAGTTGTAGTTCTCTGGTTAGAGCACCAACATTTCTCCAGGCTAGAGTGTTGGAAAACGTGGAGCAACAGATGTATCACAGCCAGCCAGAAGTGACTGAGGCTTCATATAACATGCTTGGAGGAGCAGAGACTGCAGGGTCTTACAAAGCTCTTGGGCTATTGTTCCGTTCTGTTCTAATTTGAGTACTCCCCCCAACACAGCATAGAGGATAACCCCCCACTGGCTGGTGGTTTTGTCAGCTTTGCAGCAGCTCAGGTATCCCCCCTAAGAAGTGACAGGTTCTTCAGGGCCTCCCAGAAGAAGTGACAGCTGAGAACAGTCAAATTAGCTGCTCCTCCTGCTGTGCTACTGGCCAGAAGCCCTATAGAAAGAGCAAAGGCAAAAGCTTGTCGCCAAGAGTCAGACCACGGCCAGACGCCCAAGGAGGCTCACACTGACAAATGGGCTGGGACTCCCCTCCCTTTTAACAGTGTAGGAGACAGTAACTTGCTGATGCCTAAAGACCTCCTACATTCTTACACATGCAGCCAGCCTCTCACTAATTGTCCCATTCCTTTTGCAACATCACCCACGAACAGGGAGAAGCCAGCAGTAAGGTGGTTAATGGGCAAATCCAAAAAAAAAAATCTTAACCCCCACAGCACTGGGTGCAGAGCTGAAGCTCCCATTGAGACATGGGCTCACGGCACTGACTGGTCTCCTCTTGACATCAGTAGGGAAGATGACTACATTGCTAGTTTAAAGCCAATCCCCTTTTACTCCAGTGCTTGTCAGATTGGACAAGTCTTTAACCCCATGCTGTTGGGTGCTGTAAAATGCTTGTTTGAAGGACTTTCAAGAACTCCCCGAGAGGAAAAGTACTGCAATCCCCTTGAAACTTGCAGGGGTTAGTGAAGAATAATAAGCTGTTGGTATCTAAGCCCACTCACTACTTTGAAATCCCACACAGATACCTATGCGTTTTGCAAGTCTGCCCAAGCATATACTCAAAGGCAAGAGGGGACAACAGGAGAGGAAGAAAACAGAGCCTTCAGTGTCCTCCAGTATACAAAGCACACATCTCCTCCCTGGGCTGGCAACCTGCTTCATTCAGATGAACTACAGTATGTGGAAAGGAGCAAATACTACACTGAGATTCAAAACCTACTGGAGATTAGGATTCTGCCTCCCTGGAAGACAGATGGTCCAGGCAGAGGATATAACGTTCTCTCAGACCTACCTGGGAAATTGCTTTCCAGTCTGGTAACAAGCCAAGCCTCCTCTCCCCCACAAAAAAACGCAACACACACATTTTCCTCGTAATGCAGGAAGAACGAGATGGATACTTTTCAAAATGTTTTTTAATTAAAACCAAAAAAGGAGCACACACCAGAGCTTGACATGGGCTAGCCAAACTGCTGGTCATCGGGATGTTGAACTGGCATGAGGAAGGCTGTGTTTCTGCATAACTCAGGAGCACTGGCACGGACACTGGGACTCCCAGGGAAGTACTCTGCCTGCCAGGCTACTGCTGCTTTGTGCTGAGCAGATCTCTCTCATGTGGTGATGGGAAACTTCATCCTGGAGCCCCGACTCTTTTTCCAACAGACAGAAGTCCTGGAGACTGGGGAAAAGACCATGTCAACAAATCATTTTCCAAGCACTTCTGGAGAGGATCCCCAGTCGGTTCTCCTGCCTCCCCTGGCAGGTTACACAGGTTTAAATGGAGACTCATCTTTGGCGATAGCCACACTGGTAGGACCCAGTTTTGCTTTCGCTGAAGTCAATACATGTCCTTCCCTGGACCACAACCGCAGCTACACCGGGGCTCACGATCACTAGCCAAGTTGTGCTTTAAGTTAAATCCTCATCCACTCCATCTAGCCAGAAACTTCTGAGAGCTTCTTCAGGCTCATGTAAGTGTGTACCAGTAAATTCAGGTAAATGTGAACATCTTGGTTACAGCAATGAGGTGAAGTTTTCAAATATGCCCAAGAATTGGAGGAGCCAAAGTTTCTTTTTAAGACATGACTTGGGCACTAGATCAGGTATTGAAACCTCCCTGCCATCTAATAAAGCAGTTTCCAAAGCTGCTGGTGTGTTGCTCCACCAGCCTGGTTTCTTTACCAGAAAGGCTGGGCTAAAAAAGTGACACATTTTTCATACACAATTTTTATCTGTTAGAATTTACTAGATATGCACCTCATTTGTCTGTCAAATATTTAAAAAATACTTCAACCTGCTCTAATAATGACATTTTAAAACATGCATCAAGTTTGGATCAGAACAGCTTCTCTGGGATAATCAGTAAGCCCAAATTGCTGATTTAAGGCCTAAATATCAGTCACTGGCCAGCCAGCCACAAAAAGTCACTCTATCCTTGAACTCTTGAAATTATTTTTGGCTCAGACTAACCCTTGTTACCATACATCTTATCCTACACACCACAGGAACGCGTATGTGTTTTCCAAGGCTACTGTTGCACCACAAGTTTACATACAAACACAACTTCTGCAAACATGAGACCAAAGTAAGATCTTGTATGTCCCAGGGTAAGTCAGAAAGTCCACAGGAGTCAAGGGAATGGTAACTGCCATAAAGGATCAGGCCTAATACATGCATTACAGAAGCAACGTAGCTCCTTTGCTCGAGGTCTGGCTGATTCACTTTGCACATACCACTGCTTTAGCATTAAATCCTTATCTAATGGTAAACCTGTTTCAACAACATGCAATACATATTAATGCAATATGCACTGCAACACACAATACGCATCCAAAGAAATATGCCAACGCAAAAATCTGACTTCTCACACATAGCAGGGCTAATAAGGAAGAGCCTTTTACAAAAGACAATCAAGAAATCACCTGAAACCATGAGACCTGAGGGGCCTCAAGCAATCTGCAATACTAAGACCTAATAACAGATGCTAATTCATGAAAGAAACACAAACAGTGGGACTGAGGTAATGGCAGAGATTTCATTAGTGCAATTAACATTTATAATGGTATGTTCTTTAATAGAATTTAAATAAGGCTTTGAATAATTACACACACTAAAACTAACATTCCATAACCTTATTCCGCATGGAAAAGCAGCAGAAACAACCCTCTGGACTGTACAAGTTCCAATTATGAACAATTACATTCAAAAAGTAGATCAAAACAGAAACAACTCTATCCCCCAAAAGCTGCATCATCATCTTTGAAGTCAACTTTCTCCCCTAGCGTGAGAAGTGTGAAGAGCAGATGAACTGGGCTTCAGCCCAGTAGATTTGGCCTTGTCAAATTACCAGTAGTGCTTTCCAACCCAGTCTCTCCTCGTTTCTTTAGGGTGATGGAAGCTCATGGAAAAAGAAGTGAATTTCTGAAGCAACTGAAGGGGAGTTCTCCCTTCCCCAGGCCCAACAATGTACATAAATTATGGAAGCTTGAAAAAAAATCTACATTACACTGTGGCATGTGTGTTTACAGTGCATGTTCTCCTTTAGAAACTACTCACAGACAATGGGGCTGGGTGGGTGAGAAAAATCAAAGCAGCACATGAAATAGTAATATACTGTTTCAAAATCTGCACCGCCCTGCAGAACCAGGAATTATAATTTATTCAGATTGTTCTCAACAGATCCAATCTACGCTGGATATGCAAAAAACAAAAGACTAAGTCATCAAGGAAAACCAAATGAAAAAACCTGCAGGCCGCAAGAGTTTTTAAAAATGAAACAAAAGAAAAAAATCCCAAAAACCACTGATGAAAGCTCAGAAAAATTTATCATCAATTCTGAAGTGGGGCCTTGTGACATCATCTGGGTTAATGAAGACGGAGATGGACTTCCCGGGGTTCTCAGTCACTAGCTGTTGTAACTTTTTGGCTAATCGGTCATCAGGCTGGTTGGTGTCCCCTCCATCTGACTGTGGGGAGGGGATGCTGGTGGTGCTGCCCCGCCGCTGGAGCTCCAGTGTTAGCCGGTTGGCTGCTTTGACATGTTCGATGGCAGTTCGAAGGTGTTCGGCAGGGTCTGAGCGGACTGAGGACAGCTTCCGCGCATGCAGCATGACGGTTTCTTCAGAAAGATGCTCCAGCATGTTGCACTGGGGGATGAAATAGTTGGGGCACATCTTGTTGACCAAGCAGTGCTGGAGATCATCAATGAGACCCAGAAGAAAATGGGCTGCGTAATCCTCCTGGGCCAAGTAGCTGGCTGGTAGCCTGTCACAAGCCCACAGCATCATGCTCCGCAAGTGATACGGACTAATTGCTTTGGGGCGAGACAGCAATTTGATGATTATAGCTTTGCAGGCTTGATAGGCCTGCATGAGGCTGCTGGAGATGCACTTTTTCAGCTGCACTTCACTTCTGGCAAATGACAGCCTCCACTCATTGTCCTTCTTCCCCTTGTAGGAACATGCAGGCACTAAGTAAAACCCACTTATGACTTCCTCCTCTGTGATCTTCCCGTCCCAGAAGTGGTTCTCCATCAGCCAGCTCTGGGCCACAGCAGGCCAGCCTTTGAAGGACACCACAGGGACAATGTCGTACAGCATGCGGCTGCTGCCCACTCCCAAAATGATGGATATGATAGTACCATTCTTTTCTACCTTCTCCACCTTTGGCATCCCTCGCTGAGGCTTTTTCTGGATCTCGGAGAGGACAATGCTAATGGAGTCATAGAACCAGTCTGCGACTTTTGTCGGAGAAAAGAAATAATTGGTAGCTCCATTGATATGGTCCACGATTGTGCAGCAGTCCTTCCATTTGCTAATAGTTCCTTCATCAAACAGACGCAGGCTCAGCCAGGAGTGGCACAAAGCCGAGTGGCGCATGTCCAGCGTGACTGGTTGGTTGCGGTCATGCAGCTTCAGTGCAGGCACAAGCAGGGTGAAGTCCATGTCATAGTCTGTGCCTCGTGCATAAACATTCAGCTCATCAAGATCAATGTCCACCACACCTTCCCGCACACCACCTGAAAGCAGCAGGTACTCGTTGGCTACAGGCAGCTTCTGGTCAAGTTTCTGAACCATGCCTGCAAAAAGAGAGAAAAAGAAGTCCTTTCAAGAGAAGGCAAACAGATCTGGGATACAGGATTTAACCAGGATTAAAACCCATCCCATGCCCAGCAGGCAAAAAAACAGCCAGAGGTATCCATCACTGTTCATGCAACACAAATGTACATCAGGCCCAGCACTCAGCCAACCTTTAGTCCCACCTGACTCAGGGCAGGGACTTTCCTGTACTCCTGGGAATGGGTGAAGTCCATCCTAAATATCATACTGGGAGCAACAGAAAGAAGCAGAGGCCTCTAGTAAAACACAGCAAAGCTATTTCCAGGACTAAATTTAACTTCTTAAACATCTTCTAAATGAGTTTTTCACCATATTGTCATTCATTTCTATGGTATCCAAATGCTTCCCCAACACTTCAAAAAGAAAATAGAATATTAATTGACTCCCTGTTCTTATTTTCTCTCTGGTATAAGAAAAAAGCTGGACTGGCATCAGGGGGTTAGTTTGTACGTGAGTGAATGAATAGCTACAAATGTTAGTTCAAGCAGGTCTGATTTTACAATTTGCTTTACATTTACTGATTAACAAGGCAACACGAACAAAGGCAGTATGTCCTCTTCTTATGGGGGAATGGAGACAGGTTAAACTATCAGGCAATTACAGAAGGTGGCTCTGAAACTGGTTCTTCAAGCTATAATGACGGTATCATGCCATAAAAGATCTGATCAGCTCCCCAGAGCACAGACATGAAGACAGATTTCTATTTTCATCACCAAAACCAGACACTTCCCTTCACCCTGCACTGCCCACACCAGTTGCGCAAAGCCAGTTTTTCACTGTGTATTCTATATATATCACTATACACTGTTCACGGAACACGAACAGCAGACTGAGAAGAGACTCCACGCAGTAGCTGAGATATTAGCACCTCATTCAATGTTCAAATTAGGCTTAAAATTGAGCTCTGCACTTCGACTGCCCTGTAGTCTGCTTCTGCTACTTGGGCTGCTTCACTCCTGGTGTTCGTCTTGCGGTTAAATGCTCTTGATTCCTTCCCAGCCTCAGTTCAGACAACACACCCAGGCCATGAGGGAACTAAGGCCAGTGACTCTGAATGGAGAAGCTGAATCTCTTATAAGCACTGCAGAAGGGATATGTCAGTATTTCTTACAAGCACAAATGTGCTAGTTTTTGCTGCTGTGTGTTACTTACTCTACCTGTCAAAAGGCACTATAGTTTGTTTATATCAAGAGTGGTCAAATGGAGACCTTCCATTACGAGGAAGCCAGTCTTAGAGAGACATCGGTGGGGATAACTAGCCAGAAGCATGACGAGGTGAGCCAGAGAGCTCAGACCAGGAACCACAGACATCGGTTCTACATTACGAGTGTTTCCTTACTGAAATGCTAACACAAATGATCATCACCAGAGTCCAAGCACCCATTCTGGCATAGCCCCAGGTACTGCAGAGCCTTTCCTGAGTTAACGCATCCCCACGGGATCACAGATACTGCCTGAACTGAGCAAGTTGCCCTAGCAGAGTGCGGCCACAGCAGCACCCAAGGCACTGGGTGCTGCACTAGCCTGAGCAGCACTGCAGTGCTTTCGGAGAGACTCACCTGTCCTTTCCTGCATGCCAGGACAGGGGCAGGGAAACACTACCTGCACACACACAGGTAAGCCATGACCAGAGCACCAGCTAAAGCTATGCTGATACTGACTCCTTGGAAGAGCCAAGGAGACTGTAGGAAGAGGCCTGTGTGTGAAGGGGAATGTGTCCTGGGGCAATATTCAGGGTAACTGTGCAATCCGCCATGTGAAATTCTTTGTTAAATACACTTTACCTGTTTTATTGCTTCCAAGAGCACTGGACCCAGTCCATTTTGCTGCACTGAGCTGGGATGATTTTCCTGCCAGGCAGGCAAGGACATAAACCTTTCCATTTCATGCAGCACCAGAAGCTGCAAGAGAAGAAAATAGCTCTGGAGGAGTGCTAAGAAACTCCTCCTGCTAAGTCCTGAGCTAATCCCATTCTGCGATCTTGCCACATGCTGCCCCATTCAACCACAAAGGGTAATAACCAAGAAAAGCTTCTGTCAACCTCAAAGATATTTTCTGAGGCTTAGATACACAGTAAGACACGTTACCCTGATCTATGGAGCAGCAAAGTCTTGCACAGGCTTCTCTATCCCTGAGGCCAAGTCAGTGGCAGTCACTCCTTTGTTACACCCAGAAGGAGGGGATTTCTAATGGGTACCTAAATTGACGTGACTTCTGGAGACAGTACTGACACACTGCTTCCAAATCCTGTCCTTGAACCAGAGCACGCAGCCTTGGTGCTTTACACCCCAGTTGTAAATTGAGTCCAAGACCCATGGAGTAGAGTCTGGGTCAATCACATCACAGGGAACAGTTGCTTTTTTCTCAGCACGCAAGTCAGTACCGACCTTTACTGTGGAGCTGCACAGCTATTCAGGGTATGTAGGGTCCTGATGGCCTCTACATCCAAAATTTTCTACTCAGAACTGTGATCTGCAGCATCTGCCATGCAGATCTGCAGATGTTCCTGAGAGAGGCAGACAGAATGTAATTATCCTATAGAAGAAACTGTTCAAACCTATAGAATTCAATAAAGGATGTATTTTTCTAAATATTTTTAAATCTGAAGGATGAAAAATGTCCTGTGAAGTTCTGCAGTGTACCCTTTGCACCAAAACTCCTATCCTATTCTATAGCCAGAGCCTTTGACTGAAAAAGAAAATAATATGATTTTTCTAAAAGGTAGACATTCTCCACTACGGAATCTACTGTGGGATGAGTTGCTCTCCTTGGCCTGAAGAGATCCTCTGTCCTTATGTGGGAGCAATAGAGTTGACAGTTTGACCCCATTCAATCAACTGCAAGTGGGACTCAAGTCCTTCTTTCTAAATGCCCCATGTTTATCTGCTTGGAAAATAACAGTGAACACATATGATCAAGCTCCAAAGCCAGATGAGAGCAGGAGCCACTCCTGCAATGTTAGTTCTACACCATCTACAGCACTCCTGCCTTCACAAAGCAAAGCTTGCACTGGACAAAGCCTGCACAGCCTGCTCTGCTGCCAGAGGGAATTACAAAATGTCAGCGAGCAAAGAGGAGGCTTCTGTGTGGAGAACATTTCAGGAAGAACCATAGAGTCAGAGGCACAGCTCTCCATGCACTGTTATGTAGGTACTCCCACAGAAGAGACACTTCTCTTCCCTATACCAAAGAAAAAGAGAACACCAATTTCAAGCATCCTTGCAATAGGAAATGCTTTCTGTCCACAGAACACTCTTTACACTTCCTCTAGAAAGAAAATGTTTTGTGTGCTCATCATCAAGTCTAGTTTGCAAGGCTGAAGACTCCTGAAAGGCAAAAGTGCCATACACTGACAAGAAGTCACTTGGTTTTCCCCCTCCAGAACTCTTAGACCTACCAGCATAGGAGGATGACCCAATGCAGCCTGGCTGGCTGCAGAGTTTAAATCAAAACCCTTGAGCTCTGCCTGGCACAGAATTTCCCCTTCAAGGCCTGGACCAGCAACAGCTGCAGCTCTGCCACAGAGCTAGAGAAGGAATTTTTGCTAACAGATCATAGCAGCATTGCTGATCCAATTTAAGCTGTGGAGCAGGGGGTTGAGATGAGGTCCCCTTGAGGAAAACATTTAGAATAGGTGTAGAGTGTTCTATAAATAGTTGAGATGGCCAAATTCAGGATTCACTAAGGCTTTAGGGCTTTGTAATGTGTTCAAACTGCCACCCTTATTCATAAATCTATTTGAAACATGAAGGGATTTCAAGGAATACCATTAGCCAACATTGTATGGTATACACTACCCTGGCACAAAGCTTTCATCCCAAGTTTCAACAGCCCAAACACAAGCTGAGAGTACCACGTGTACATACAACAGAAAGCGTCACTCCAGCTCAGCAAGCATGTAAGCGCAGATACAAAGAAGAAAAATATAGAGATTGGTACTTGACCCAAGTACTTAAGATAATAGCAGTGTCTCTTCTTTCCATCTCAGTACCAGGACCATCCGGCAGGTGGAGGGAATAGGGGTTACAGATAATCTTGTGAAGTTTGTAGAAGCCCTATGGAGTTGTCTGTAAAGACCGAACCTAGAACTTGTAGGGTCAAACATGAAAAAAAAAATTTTAGCTGAAGGACCAGCTCTCATGGCCTCAAAGTAGGTTCATTGATATTTAAGAAGTCTCTTGCTGCTACCAGGCAAAACACATAATTTGCAGTCATATCTTGTGTGACATGTTCTTTTGAAAAGGATATTTGGCAACGCTGGTATTTTGCTAAGAGACTGGTATTCAATCACTTTTGTCTAAAGCATCTTAAAGAAGTTCTGTTTTCCTAGCTGAGTAACTACTTTAAGACCTTCCCAAGCTATAAAATTTGGCATCGTAACAGGTAAGTATGCTTACAAGCATGAGAAAAGCAGGGAATGTGAGAATTAGGAGCAGCACCTGTAGGCCAAGCTTGCTGGTTAGTTTGCTAAACAGTCAGTTCAGAGTAACACAGAGTTCTACAGACAGAATTTCTGTATCCATTGTAGTTTCTTCAGTAGCAGGAAAGTAGAATTTATTTCTACTCTAAGCACTGTGATACAAGGAGAATAAGCACAAAGAAGAGGCTTTACTTTTACATAACACCTACATTTGGGATACATCCTTGAATGAACTGGGACTCTGATGCACAGATGACACACAGACTATTCTTCCTATTAAAAAAAAGCAATGCAAAGATGCTCTCCATCCATTACAGAATTTCAGACGAACTGATTTCATGACCACTGCCGTGCTTGCTGGGCTCTACTATTTCATGACCAGCTTTGTGTAAATAAGGAGGAACCTACAGACTTGTCTTTGAAGAAACTGACCACAAGGAAAAATTACACAAAAACTTATTTCTAACATATGCATTTCCTAATTTGGTGTTCCTTCTTGAAGCCTTCCTTCCTTCTGTTAGTCTAACCTGGTCTCATCAAACGGAATGGGGTGATATTCAGGGCAGTCACTGAATTAAGGGACACTTCTGCTGCATGGGAACTGGACAGAGGTCAAAAGAGCAGTGGGGTGCTCAGAAAGGCTCCAGAAAGGAGGATTTGCAGAACCTTGCAAGCAGAAACATATCATGAGATTCCTTCCGGGAGCCAAGCCAGACTAGGCACTAGAGCTCTGCACTGCTGCTGTTCTCCAACTTAGACCCCAGTGTCTGCAGTAGCAAACGCCTTGCTCATGTTCCACACCAGCCTGCTGGGGAGGAAACAGTCCACACAGTGCACAGCCTTGATTTTCTTCCTTGACCCCTGCATCACTCACTCCTCCTGCACAGCCTGTAAGGTTCCCTATAAGCTGCTGGGACCACGACTTACAGTAACACCCCTGGCTTTGCAGACAATCTGTGCCAGGAAGAGTTTGCAAGCTGGCTCACAAAGCTAATGTGGTCCGTCACAAATCATCTTCAACTTCTTAAGATCACAAATGTATTCTATACATCATCAGCACAGGAGGCAAGCAAGAGGCTACTAAACCATAACGATACCATGGCCAGGCTGCTGAAGACCTTTAGGGACATGATGATCCCCAGACACATGTAAATGATGCACGTAAGTTTATCTGTGGGGTATACAGACAGGAGCTTGACCCTTCTCTCCAGAAGAAAAAGACGCCAGGTGAATGGCAAGGGGCTGGCTGCAGCCTGCAGGCAGCTGTGCAATGCAATTCAGCGAGTAAAAGTGATGTTAACGCTGCCGCTCCTCATTACCGAGCTTCTCTGCTCAGCTCTTGACTTTGCCATCTAATCTGATTTGAGAAGCAGCACAAGTCTGTGTGATATGAGCTGTTAAAAATAGCTGCAGCACCAAATAAACATGCCTGCCCTCCAGCCCCACACTGAGTTCGGAAGATGCCAGAGTACCCTCTCCAACTCTGCTCAAAGACC